CTTGAGCCCAGGAGTTGGAGGTTGCTGTGAGCAGTGAAGCCATGGCACTCTACCCAGGGGCTCAGCTTGAGGCTCTGTCTCAAAAAAAAAAAAGAGAGAGAATCAATCACTCAAGCCCAGGAGTTTGAGGCTGCTGTGAGCTGTGATGCCATGGCACTCTACCCAGAGCAACAGCTTGAGACTGTCTCAAAAAAAAAAAAAAGCATCGTATTTGCATATAACCTCTTTATACCTGCCTGTATACTTTCCATCATCTCTAGATTACTTATAGTACCTAATACAATGTAAATGCTATGTAAATATTATACTGTATTGTTTGTATTCACTTATATTGTTGCACTGGTATTTTTTATTGTAACTACCCCTCCAAATATATACATCGTAGAACCTTGAAAGTTGACGGCCTCCAACACTGACCACCTCCTTAAGATGACCTAATTTTCATAGACCAGACGTATACCAAATGTACTCAATCAGAATTTCTTATGTTGACAGCCTTCACATGTTGAACAGTTTCATCATAGTCCCTTGGGTAGTAGCTAGCAGAGGTTCTACTGTATTTTTACTAGTAATGTCCTTGTCTGATCCTTCAAATATTTCTGATCCACAATTGGTGGAATCTGAAGATGCAGAATCAGAGGATACAGAGAGAGGGCTGACTGTATACACTTGAATGGGTGTGGCTATGTCCCGATAAAACTTTATTGACAAAAATAGGCCACCAGCCTGAGTGCTATACTTTTTCAACTCCTAGCCTGGTATTTCTCCTGGCCAAAACCACAGATGACCAAGTGCAACATCTGTGCTTTGTTTCAACTGTTCCCTAATACATCAATATTGTTGGAACAAATCTAATTTTCCAAAACAAGCCTTATAGCAAAACTGACTACAGGGAAAAGTGTTTTTTAAAAAAAAGACTCTAATGTGGCATTTAATCCAAGGCCAGGGTGCCAGGTTAACTCTTTTTTTTCTTTTTAAGACAGTCTCAAACTGTCAATCTGAGTAGAGTGCAGTGGCGTTACAACTCATAGCAACCTCCAACTCTTTGGCTCAAGCAATTCTCTTGATTCAGCCTCCAAGTAGCTGGGATCACAGGTGCCCACCACAACACCCAGCTTTCTTTTTGTTGTTATAGTTGTCATTGTTGTTTTAGCTGTCCTGGGCTGGGTTAGAACCTGCCAACCTCAGTGTATGTAGCCGGTACCCTACCCACTGAGCTAGGGGCACTGGCCTCCAGGTTAACTCTTTTTGACAAGTCAGAAAAAAATTAATTTCAAAAAGGGCCAAGTGCAAACAAGACAGCTTGCTGAAGGGTCAATTTTATACTGTCCTAAAGCTCACACTTGGAACTCTCAAGATAAACAGGTCAATCGTAGA